CCGGGGTCCCCTCCTCCCCCAACCTGGGCAGCTGGCCCCCTCCCGCTGCCTCGCGCCCTCGCCCGGGGCTGCCCAGGCCGGGCTGGCCGAGGATGCTGGGGCCGGCCGGTGGGTCGGTGTGGGGGCGTCCGGCGCCGGGAGCCGCCTCCAGCCCAGCCGCAGCGCGCAGGCCCGGGGGCGTCGGGGCGAGATGGACCCCCGTCCTCTCCCCCTCCCCCCGCCCCCCCCCGGGCCCCCCCCCCCGAAGCCCCCCGGCCGGAGCGGGGCTGCGCGCCTTACCTGCGCCGGGGAAGCGCAGCGCCGGCATCCCTCCGGGCTGGCGGAGGCTGCGGCCGCTCTGCTGGCTGGCTGGCAGGCAGAGGGCAGGACCGGGCGGGCGGCTTCTGCAATGCAGGCGCTGCTGCTCCGGCGCCGGGCCGGAGGCGGGCGGGCGGGCGGGCGAGCGGCGGGGCTGCGGAGCCCCCTCCCGCCGCCCTTGAGCCCCGGCTGGGCAGGAAGCGCAAGGGCGGCCGCCGCCTCCGCCGCCGCCTCCTCCTCCTCCTCCTCGGAGCAGCCACGGGACGGGAGCGGCGGGCGGGCGGGGGAGGAAGGCGGCCGCAGCCCTCGCCCAGCCCTCGCCTTCTCGCGCAGGGAGAGGGGGAGGAGGAGGAGGGAAGGGAAGAGAAGAGAGGAAGAGGAGGAGGAGGGAAGAGGGAAGGAGGGACGGAGGGAGAGAAGAGCAGGAGAGAGGGAGCAGGCGAGGAGGAAAGACGGGAGGAGGGAGAGAGGAAGAAGAGGAGGAGGAGGAAAGAGGAGAGGGAGAGAGGAAGAAGAGGGGAGAGGAGGAGGAGGAGGAGGAGGGACAGCAGCCATTCCCCTCTGGTGGGAGTGAGAGGCAGGAGGGGCGCCTGGGGAGAAGGAGGGAGTCAAAATGGATGTCAGGGAAGCGATGGGGACAGCTTTTCCTTCAGAATGGTTTATGGATCAGAGTAAAATGCATGGGAAAATGCCACGACCAATGAAAATTAAACTAGGATTAGGGGAGATCCTCCATCCATCTTTACTTTCCCAAGTCCACTGAGATCGACCAGCCACTGGACATGGGTAGCCAAACTGTTGTGTTCCCACCTAAACCCCAAAACGACAGGAGCTTCTTCTGGGAATCCAGTTCTGTGGGATGAACTAGGAGACCGATGGTTTCTGCCAGCCAAACGGCCTGTTGCTCCAGGCGGAAGTACTGCTCCTGCTGCAACAAGCCAGCATCACCGAAGAGGCCAACCCCCATCGCCCCTCTCCTGAATTTCATGGCTGAGCCCCGTATCTCCAGCTTCAAGGCTGCGTGGGGTCCTTGGTTCTCCGTGAGCTTGGTGGCTTTCTTGCAGGGGTTGCATTACCCAACCAGGGAACATCACCGGATGGGTCATGAAAGATCTGCAAGAAAGCCACCAAGTTCACAGAGAACCAAGGACCACACAATTCAACCCTGACCTGCAACTCTTCTCTCTCCCGGTGATTCAAGGTGTCACAGTAAGGAGGCAAGTCCAGAGAGAGCCCAGTCAACAATGTGTTTTTGAACAAACCTCCCACTTGCGTCAAGAAACCTCCCCAAAGAATTGCCTTCCACAAGAGTTTGGCTGTTTGTCTTTCCTTTCGGGTGTCCCCCGAGGGAGAACTAGTCAATGGCAAGGACATCTCTAGGGTGATGTTCTGAGCCACAACACAGACTCGTTGATTGATCTGTAGGTTGGTTTTCTTGGCTATCCATGGTATTCTAAGGAGTCTCCTCCAAGGTCAAAGTTGAACAGCACCATCTTCTTCTGCTTCTTCAAAGTCCGAATGAACCCCAGTGGATCCCCAAAAGCTTACATCCTAGAAGGCTTTCGAATGCTCTCCCACCTCCTTCTGTCTTCATTTGAGTCAAGATGACAGACAGTTTGCCAAGGGACTTCTAATTTTGCTTTACAATGTACTCTTAAATTTCATAGATAAATTTCGCATGAAATTAGCCTCAGTTTAGGATTTGAAAAGTGGAGGGTAGCCCTCTCCTGGCTTCCAGGACCATGAACCACTCCACCAAGTAGCCCAACTCTTGCTAGATGTCAAATAATCCCAAACTGTGGACCTACGCCAACAAGGAAGCAGAACTGGGAAAGGCGGTCACTATTAAAGCTGCCTCTGGTTTCAAACAACTCTGGGCTTACAAGATAAAATTCAGGGACTAGAGTAGAGTAGAGTAGAGTAGAGTAGAGTAGAGTAGAGTAGAATAGAATAGAATAGAATAGAATAGAATAGAATAGAATAGAATAGAATAGAATAGAATAGAATAGAATAGAATAGAATAGAATAGAATAAGTAGAATAAAATAATGAATATAATAGAGTAGAAATGAATAGAATAGAATAAATATTGGGAGGAATAGGATAGGATAGGATAGGATAGGACAGGACAGGACAGGACAGGACAGAATAAGCTGGAAGGAACCTTGGAGGTCTTCTAGTCCAGCCTCCTACTCAAGCAGGATAACCTATACCATTTCAGACAAGTGAATGAATTTCTTGGTCTTTTTTTCCTATCCTCACCTGAATGATTTCTAAAAATGTCGACCAGCACTGGAGCCAAGTCAAAACCCTGGCCTATCCCACAGCATGGATTTTTTTTTTAAAAAAAAATGGTTAGTCAAGTCATATTTTGAATTGCCTCTCAGGCCTCTGGATTTTCCTGGATTCTTCGAGGTTTTCATTTAACTTTGAGACAGAAAATTGCAAATGATGGGCACGGAGTTATGAAAAGGGACACGTAGAAACTGTCTCCGGGGACTTAAGGCAGCAAACCTGCATTTTTCATTAGGAAAGGGGGTGGAAATTCATTTTCATCTGTTCTTCTATAAACCAACATTTCTGATACCTCCAGTGGGCTAAAAATAACCGCCTTTTTTTTTTACCCCAAAGTGCTAAGGCTGGCTGTTAAATTCCACAGTGCTTCCTGATAAGTTGATGATTCACCTCATTGCTTTATTTCGTTTTAATCTCTTTTTCTTGGAACTAAACTCCTGATGTTTTATCATTTCTTCAGCCAAGTCCATTTTCTCAGGCAAACGGGGCCCAGAGGGAGAAGGTGCAGCTGGATCTTATGCCACATTTGAGAAATTTTGAGATTAGGAGTTACATTTCAGGGTTGCATGAAGATTAAGGCAAGGAAAAATAGGCACCTGGCCAGCAAAAAGTTTGCTCCGTGGAAGGAAAGTTCTTGAAAGAAAAATGGTTTCCTGCTAACAAATTGAGAATTTGCCCAGAAACCATCAGTTCTAAGGCAAGGTTTCTCAACCTTAGCCGCCTTAAGGTAGGTGGACTTTTAACTCCCAGAATTCCCCCAGCCAGCCAACACTCATCTCCCATTGTTAATACTTCTGTATTCAAATATATTCTCCATTTGCAGCAGAAAAGCATTGCAAGAATGGGGGGGGGAAATGTTCTGCCCAGGGTGTGGCATCTCACCTGTTTGCCTGCTTCCGGTTGCAATGCTAAAGGGGCTTGCCTGCCACCAGGTGGTGCCATCCCATAACGTACATTTCAGGTCGATTTTGCAAAAAGCAGCTCACCCAAAGAAGGACACCTTGCCTGGCTGCAGAGCACGGGGAGCATATTTACAAATCAGGACAGGATGGAAAGAAAGGAAAGAAAGAAAGAAAGAAAGAAAGAAAGAAAGAAAGAAAGAAAGAA